CCCTCAGTAAGGTTGCCAAGAATCACCAAACTGCAGTCCAACTTAACCACGGAAAAACACAGCATTAGGAGAAACATCTACAACTTCAGCTTTCAAGAGCCATATTAAAAGGTGATTCACAGTAAGAATTAGTAGTAGTAGTGATTTATAAATCTAAAACCTTATAAGCATTCCCATTCTACAACTGGTTGATAAGACACGGTAGGAATAAAAATATATACAGAAGACTTTCAGGAGAGGAAAACCTCATGTTTCATGCTCATCTGAGTATTTCTTTCAATCTAGAAATGAGCCTGTCTTAAGTTTAACGTAATGTTGGTAAACTCAGATGTTGCAAAATTCAGGTTTTCCGTTCTAGAAAGTTCAGTAATTATAAGTAACCTGGTTTGTATTATTAAAAACTAAAGCATTGCAGCACTAAGAACCAATGTATAGGCATATGGAAACAGTTTTGCCGCACTATCCCAGAAATACCAAAAAAGCACAGCATAAAAATTTCTGAACTTCTTAGTCAAATTACTTCAGCTATTTGCAACAAAACTGTAAGCAACCTTTTCTTCATCGTAAGAGACGTGCACATTTATTTTTGCAATGAGCTATCTGAAGGACCATTTTGTCTCCTAGGTACTGCACCTCTGGGAGTGATGGTCAGAGAAACAGGACACGTTACACTTGTACCATCTCCAGATCTCTGCTTCTCCCCAAGTACTATTTGCACCAGTATGTCACCTTTAAATATTTAGATTACTTGAACTATGACACCATCCTAACTTATATCTGCTCAAAAAAGTACATCAGAAAAAGAGAAAAAGGCTTTTCAATTAAGTAATTTGCTGATGAAAATTTGGAACAAAACCAAATTATAGGGCATATGTATACCTAGTTAGAAAAATTATATCGCGCTACAATACACTGTTCAAAGGCGAGTTAGAGCTGTACTGAATATTAATATACCTAGTTAGAAAAATTATATCGCGCTACAACAATACACTGTTCAAAGGAGAGTTAGAGCTGTACTGAATATTACTGAATTGCATGAAGGGAAAAGACTAACTGGGATATAAAAAAAGAGGAATATTATCCATAAGACACATGAAGACATCAGCTGGATTTACCGATTGCTGACAAGGCCCAATTTGAAGTAGCACCTCCTGGATGTCACAGTTGAAGGATGTAAACCTGACAAGAAAGCCCAAAGACAACCAATCTAGAAAATATTACTTATTTAAAAAAAAAAAAAAAAAAAAAGCTGCTCTGGTGTTGTGTGAGTTGTTCTGGTTTCTTTGCTTGTGGTTTGGATTTTTTGTTTGTTTGTTTTGGTGTTTGGTTTTGTTTTGTTTTGGTTTTTTTTTCTAGAAAGGGCTAGACTGAGAATATCCAAGTATTTTTAAAAATACTCATGCAGACAGAGGGAATTAGTTTTTCTATGTTCACCACAGACAGTAAGTTCCTACTACATCAAGGAAGATTAGGTTAGATATTAAATTAAATCCTCATGAAATAAGCATAGTGAAACAAAATAAGAGACTGCAAACTTTCTAATACTTTTAAAAATGGCCAAAATTAATGTGTGTTATAAGTGTAATTGATCCTGCTTTTGGGAACATCAAAATGGACTACATGAACTTCTGATGCCTTTTTTCTCCTAAGACTACAGAGATTCAGATCATTTGTCCTTCCAGCCCAGGCAAAACCAGGGGAGGTGTATTCTCAAAAATGTCAGGTTTTATATCTGTGTATCATTTGGGCATACCTTAGATGTGGAGGTTTAGCCTTATAAAACAAAAAGCTACCACAGAGATAAGCCTTTAACAAAACTAGAGTTAAAAACAAGACTGACCTCAAAGTTTTCTACAAGATCTTAATGGATGACAGAAAACTGAAGAACAACTCAGGTTTTTTGCAGTATTTTCATATGCAGAGTTTTGTAAGCAAATTCTGTTTCTTTTCATCTAAAGTACAATTAGACTGTTCAATAGTGATAAGCCACAATATAAAGCAGCACAGATTAGTTTTAACATTCCAGTTTATCTGGTAACCACATCTTTAAGAGGCAGCTGCTCGCTCTCTCCTCCTCTGCTCGTGTCTTTGCTTTACGGGTCAACTGCCGCTTCTGCCTCTTTGAAACTCCCTGCAAAGATTAAAATGGATATGAAGACTCCTGATACAAAGGCACACAACTTGAACTACTGTAGTGGAACACAACTGAGCAAAAAGGGAAGGTTACTTTAGTTACAGTGCCATTTCCCATTTTATATGTAAGCATGGCTTGAATAGTTGGAGGTTCATTAGCAAATTTTAGGTAATGGTTTGCGAGTCAACCCTCAACATTGTTCTTCACTAAAGAGTAAATGTGACATTTGCAGCGCTAGCAGTGGTGTTGGCAGAACACTAAGTCACATTCAAGTACGTTCTCTCTTGCAAGATACGCATATCCTGTTCACATTTCTTCCTCTTTGCAAGACTGCTATATCTGAGGCCAGTACTTCGTAAACTACCATGAAACTGGTTCAAATAGCCATAATTCAGTATATTTCTGGTGTGCTTCTGACACTAGTGGAGTTGAAGAACTTCAACCTTTATAAGATCTTTTGCTTGTTAACAAAATCTGGTATCTTCTCACTAGTTGTACAGATTGAGAGGTACATTCTGCTCAGGAGGTTTGTGTACCCTCCCTTTATTCCTTTGTTTCAGCCTTAAAATATTTCATTTGCCACCAAAGGAAAATACTGACTTAAGTTTAATTATTTTGAGCAACTTCATTTTGGAAAAAAATTGCAAAGAAAATTGAGTTAGGAATCGACAAAGACACTTCTGCTGCAAGAGAATCAAAAACCGTATTAACTTTGGCTACCCATTTTTAGAATTAAATGAATGAAAAAACATATTGACCCTATAGCAAAACTATAGGTATTACAGGTTTCTGAACCCTGCTCATCACTTCTAACTTTCTGATGATGGGAATGAAGGAAAATCCAATAAAGTTCTCAGGATATCATTAAATGTGTTGCATTTAGGATCCAGCACTACAGCTGGCAAATTCTATTTACACTGGGAGGCTATATAGTATCTCTTTCAAAACAAGTATTCCATTTGGGTTGTGATTTAAAAAACAACCAACCCCACCCCCTAATAAATTCACCTGCCCAAAGGCTGCCTTTATTTCCATTCTGAACTAGCTACTATTCTAATTGATAGTGACAGAATCAACAGTGTATAAAATAATGGAAATTGGATGAACTTCTGTTTACATGAAGACACCTTGGACAAAGTTGGTTACCTCTCAGACTATATGAGTTTTCATTTTTGGATTGGGGGAGAAGGCTATTTAGTCTGAACTTCAAGGTAACTAAAAGCATAATGCCGCAACTGCTGAAGTTGCTATTCCTCAGCGACCTAATCCAGCCTAGTTGGAGTCTGCTTCAGTCCCCTTCCTGTATTCCCTTCTGCTTTATTTTGCTCTCATCTGCTTCAGTGGTCATCAGATCCACAGCTCAGTTGGTTTAGTCCACTAATCCAATTGAAAGCCACTTTACTGTCAGGTTGGTTTTCTGTTAACTTCGACTGTGTTCCATAGCAGCCTAAACTGGGCAGGGTCTACATGAGCTACTGCTGCAATCCCACCTCTTCTGAGGCACACGTGCACAATCATCCAAAATTGCTGTACAAGGGCTTGTGCAGCTGCATGGTTGAACCAGATTAAGAAACTGAGCAGAGTTAAAATGAGAACAAAAAGGGTTAGTTTGAGCTATGTTGATTCCATTATCTGGTTCACCAGACAGCCACCAAAAAAAGGGATGGGAATAAACATGACTCGCTTTTACTGAATCATAGAATATGAGGTTGGAAGGTACTTCAAGGATCATCTGGTCCAACCTTTCCTGGCAAAAGCATGGACTAGACAAGATGGCCCAGCACCCTGTCCAGCCAAACCTTAAAAGCATCCAATGTTGGGGAATCCACCACTTCCCTGGGGAGATTATTCCATTGGCTGATTGTTCTCACCGTGAAACATTTTCTTCTTGTATCCAACTGGAATCTCCCCAAGAGATTCCCAACTTGTACCCATTACCCCTCATCTTTTCCATGTGACTGCTTGTAAAAAGGGAGTTTCCATCTTCTTTGTAGGTACTCTTTAAATATTGGAACATGGTGATAAGGTCTCCCTTATGCCTCTTTTCTCTAGGCTGAATGAACCCAGTCCTCTCAGCCTGTCCTCATACAGCAGGCTTCCCAGTCCTTTGGATCATCTTGGTGGCCCTTCTCTAGACCCCTTCCATTCTGTCCATGTCTTTTTTGTACAGTGGGGCCCAAAACTGAACACAGTATTCCAGGTGTGGCCTGACAAGCGCTGAGTAGAGTGGAATAATGCAACCCAGCATCCTGTTGGCTTTCTTTGCTGCAGCAGCAGAGTGTTCACTCATTTGAGTTTGTTGTCCACCAGGACCCCCACGTCACCTTCCACAGAGCTGCTCCCTAGCTAGGTAGATCCCAGGCCTGTGCTGCACTCCTGGATTATGTTTTCCCAGGTGCAGGCCCTTACATTTGTCTTTGCTGAAGTTCACAATGTTCTTGTTAGCCCACTCTTCCAGCCTATCCAGGTCTTCCCGCATGATGGCTCTCCCTTCCAAAGTGTCTACTTCCCCACTCAGTTCAGTATCATCAAACATACTGGTAGGAGCAATGTAATCTACTTTTTTCCCCTCTAAGCATAAGAAAAACTTACCATCCTCACAAATGATGTCATGCTTTAGAAAATACGGGTCTCTTCACAACCCTGAACAATGAATTACTTGAGGACAATATCTTTGTTTTAGGGGAGAAAAGGCACTGGATATAACACATTCTGGAAGAGAAACCACAGCAGTAGGAAGGATATGGGGCTTCTCCTACAAGGTTCTGACTCAATTCCAAAGAACAGCCAAGAGGAAATTCTTCAAGGAAACAGAGGTGGCAAACACCATGCACATACCTAGCAATCAAAAGCAATACACATATAAGAAAAAAAAAAATCCTTACCCAGATAAGTGAAACTGGTATGGACTACTATTTAGCTTTCTTAAAGAATTCCTAAGAC